GAGATGTGATTTTCGAAGAAAACACATTCTATAAAGACATATCCAAACTTAGTGACAAAGAGCATCCTCCTAGGACTGTTGAGTTGGAGGTGGAGCTGCCCAACAACACTGGGCAGCAACCTGATGTGGCTGAAAATGAACAACAACACACTGTTGCTGAAGTTCAAGATGATGGGAATGACATTCCCATTGAGGAGCATGATGTGGAAGTGGATAGAGATAATCTAGAGGATTGTTTGCTATCTAGAGATAGGACTAGGAGGAATATAAGACCTCCAAGTCGTTTTGCACATGCAGATGTCATAGCATTTGCACTCCAAGTTGGAGATGTGCTGGAGTTTAATGAACCCAGCTCATACCAAGAGGCTATGAGGCTGGATTCTAAAATTCATTGGCTAAAAGCCATGAAGGAAGAGATGGAGTCTCTTGAAAAAAATAAGACTTGGGTTTTGGTGGAGCATCCAAAGAACAAGAAGGTGATTGGATGCAAATGGATTTTTAAAAGGAAGCCAGAAATCCCAGGTGTTGAAGCTGCCAGGTTTAAGGCAAGGGTTGTTGCTAAGGGTTTTTCACAAGTTGAGGGAGTTGACTACAATGAAATTTTTTCCCCTGTTGTGAAACATGTTTCTATTAGGCTCATTCTTTCAGTTGTTGCAATTCATGATTTAGAATTGGAACAATTGGATGTCAAGACTGCCTTCTTGCATGGCAGCCTTGAAGAGCTCATATTCATGGAGTAACCCGAAGGATTTATAAAAAAGGGGGCTGAGAACAAAGTGTGCCTTTTGAAAAGGTCCCTTTATGGGTTAAAACAAGCCCCTAGGCAGTGGTATAAGAGGTTTGATGATTTTGTTTTGTCCAAAGGCTTTAATAGGAGTAGTTTTGATCATTGTGTGTACTTTAAACAATTGCATGATGACTGTTTTATCTACTTGCTGATTTATGTTGATGACATGTTAATTGCATCTAAAGACATAAATGAAATTAATAATATGAAATCATTGTTGAAAAAGGAATTTGAGATGAAATTTCTTGGTCCAGCCAAAAGGATACTTGGCATGGACATTACAAGGACTAGAGATGAGAGGAAATTGACTCTCTCTCAATCTGAGTATGTGAAAAAGGTCTTAAAGACCTTTGACATGTACCTGGCCAAACCTGTAAGTGTCCCCCTTGCTGGTCACTTCAGGTTGAAGGCTGTAGATGGTGAGTTAGCCTCGGATGAGGCTTCTCTTATGTGCAGTATTCCATATTCTAATGTTGTTGGATGCCTAATGTATGCCATGATAGGTTCAAGGCTTGATATTGCATATGGTGTTAGTGTAGTAAGTAGATACATGAGTAAACCATCTAAGGAACACTGGAATGCTGTGAAGTGGTTGCTTAGATACCTTAGTGGCTCTGTTGATTGCTGCATTCATTATACTGCTGAAAACTCAGTTAATTGTGATATTACTGGTTATTGTGATTCTGACTATGCTGCTGATCTTGATAAAAGAAGGTCTCTAACTGGTTTTGTTTTTTGTGTGGGAGGAAATGTGGTGAGCTGGAAGGCAAGCTTGCAACACATTGTGGCACTCTCCACAACTGAAGCAGAGTATGTGGCTCTCACAGAAGCTGTCAAGGAGGCAATGTGGCTACATGGAATTGTCTCTGAGTTGGGTCTAGGTAAGGACCCTCCTAAGGTATTCTCTGATTCTCAATCTGCCATACACTTGTCCAAAAATGGTGCATACCATGAAAGGACTAAGCATATAGATGTTAGGTTGCATTTCATAAGGGAAATAATTAGTAATGGTCAGGTTAGTGTGAATAAAATAGCAACTGAAATTAATCCTGCAGATATTTTGACTAAGACTGGTCCTCTTAGTAAATTTAGGGAGGCTCTAAATTTGCTAAAAATAAAACCTCCCTAAATTGCATGCATAGCATAGGCCTTGGGTTAAACGCCAGAAAAACTCTGGTGTGCACTTTATTTTGTTGTATGTTTAGTAAATAGGTGGAGATTTGTTGTGGATATTTCCTAAACTTGCAGCTATCGATATACTGATGTCATTTGCTCCATATCTGTTTGTTCATTTTGTTTGTGGGCTGAAGCTTATGTTTTATTAGTGAGGCCCAATAAGTATTACTCTTATATGTTAGTTATCTGTAGCCTAAGTCAATACGCTGCGTTTTTACTGCTGTGATAACAAAACTAAAATGAGTGGCTTTAAAATACGTGGTCGAATTCTGTTTAATGGTTAAGCTTTCAGATTGTTTTTTCCTCTCTCTGGTTCATTTGGGTTCTTTGAGAGAAAAGAAGACTTAGGGTTTGTCGAACATTTTGAGAGGGTTTTTGAGTGAGAAATACTGAGAATCTCACCTCAGTTGTTTGGATAGATTTGTTCCTTGTGGTGAGGCGCATCCTTTAATCGGTTTATTTCTGGAAGATACGGTTATCAGAAATTGAAGATGATTCAAGATGGTGAGCTCGTGGACTGATGCAGAGCTGGTGAAACCGTGTAGCTGAGGTGCTGGTGTTATTGGTGCTTGTTTGAGAACGGTGTTATCTTGTCTTTATTTCTTTTTCTGATAGTTTTCGTTTCTTGAGATAAATCATTTGTAATTGTGGTGCTCTTCTCCAGATCTGGTATTTCTCTGTAATTGTGAGTAGGTGCTGATTTGCATGTTTAGTATATGCTGTGTTAGCTGCTGGTATATGTAAATTGCTGAACATATTTGTACATATTACTATTCTGAATATTAGTGCATGCTAGGGGGCGTTTGACCCTCACTGGCCAACTTGGATGTAGGAAATTCTTTTACAAAGAATTTCTGAACCAAGTATAAATTCTGGTGTTGTTCTTTATGTTTTCTCGTTCTGCTAGTTGATTTTCTGGGGTGATTCTTGATAACTCTATACCAAGAATTGTAACAGTAGCCTTAAGCCCAAAATTTTGATGAATCTCCTCTTTGATCAATTTAGCTACCGTCAGGTTTGATTTGTATTATTTTTGTTTAATCTTTAAAAGTTAGATCATTGTGTCCTTGAAATTGTGTACCATATGGTAGACAGTCAACAAATATTTGGGAACTGGAACTCATTTTTGTCGAGGAATAAGATTTGGAAATGAGTTCGAATTTTTTCACAAAATTTCTAAATTCTAAAGATTATAACAACGATTTAATACGAAAACGCGTTTAACATGGTAGAAGTGAGAGTTAAAACATTGGCCGCAAAGAAGATGAAGAACGATTAATTAGGGAAACTAATAGAAAGCATATAAAAAAAATATAGATGATGGGCTCTGTCCGGCACTTCAAATATTGATATATTGATATATTAATATATAATTTTAAAAAAGATAAATCAATGTGTACTTTGAGAACAAAAATAAAGAAATAATTATTTTTTAAATAAAGGCAAAACAATCGACGAGCCTTTAAACTTGTCATCATCACTGTGTAACTGAAGTCATGCGTGAGAGGTCATTGAGTCATTTGTCGGACCACAAGGGAAGCATTCAAACAAAAAGATATGAGAAAGGATATATATTTTTTATAATATTATGAAGAAATACTTAAGCATATGTAACATGAAAACGTATTATGTAATTCAATCAACTTAATTGTAACAATAATTTACCGATATATTTAAATATTAGTAATTAAATAATAATATAAAATAAAATGTTAAGAATATAACTCAACAAAGTATATTTTATGAGTTTAATGTCTCTTATGTTATAAGAAATAAAATTATTTTTAACGTATATATAAAAATATGTGAAATTAATATTTTTTCTTTCCTTTCTTTTTTTCATACTAATCCATAGGAATGAAAAACATTCAACCCATATTTTATATGTCATAATGCATATAAAAAACAAAATTGAAACTGGTCTTGACAAGTTAAATAAGTTTGACCAATTCTTTTAAAAAATCTGTTATGGAAAAGAATTAGACTGAACCAGAGTCCGAGTCGCAGGTTTCTCGATTTGAGTTTTACACTTACGTTAGACACGGTTCGACGTTCATATTTTTAATTTTTATTTATTTATTTTGGGTACAAGATTTAGCGTCCTTTATTGAACTTGATGCTATCATTTATTTCTTCATAACTATAAAATTCAATGGAAAAAACATTAAAAAGAAAAGAACAATGGATATTAAACAAGCATGCGAATGAAGTTCAAGAAACAAAAAAATCTCTTGACTTCGCCACGAAGATGGTAATGGTATCTTGCAATAGTCTATCCCTTCATCTAAAAGGCAAGAATCAAGCTCAGGGGCAATTTCTCTTCAATAAACTTGAACATTAATTCGACCAAAAATTGAAGTGCCTTACCCCTTAAGTCTATAATATATGTTAACCTCAATAGTCAATAATCGGTCCCCACTATATCACCATGCAACACAATAGTGTTCAGAAAAGCCAAAATATTGGCTAGTCGGCGACAACTCATCAACTACACTTGACAGTTGACACCGTAGTAGTACTTATGTATTTTCTTGCCAAAACTAACCTAACATCAGTAAAATATAGGTATTGTTGCATGGTATAAATGTATAATCATGCTATAATACATGCATTTTCTTCAAGTCCTCACATGTATCCAGCAACTCACGAAAAAAGAAAAGAAAATAAGCTCGTTCAAGTCACATGCGCCCTTTCAATTTCATTTCATCACCCAAAACGTTATTTCTTTTTTGTATTTTAATTTTTATACCATCAAGAGTCAACAATAATAAAAAAAAATATAAAAAAATTGAAATCCAACGTATACATAGGCAATCAGACAACAAGGTTTAGATTTTTAAAAATTTAGAATTATCTATTTTAAATTATTTTTGTTTGGACTAAATTAAATTAACCCAATCCCAAAAAAGGAAAAACAAAGGAAAGTGGGAGAAGAAAAAGAAAAAAGAAATGAAGAATTCTTTTGAAAATTTGTGATTCGTGTGTCTAAACTCTAAACACGGAGTTGCAGAAGGTGGACGAGGTAAGGTGAGACTTTTGGGACTTTGGAAACGGCGTCGTTATTGGTGTTCCTTCGGTGATGGCCGATGACAAGTCCTCGACGGTAATGGGCAACAGAGACAGAGATCGAGAGCTTCTCATCCCCGTCGCTGAATCCGGCGACGACGACGGCGCCGCATCCAAGCCTTCGTCTTCCACCTCATCCGTGCATCATGCTGGCCGCGAGGTGATGATCTCTTCCTCGTATACTCTAGGGTTTTAATTGTTCTTTACGCGTGCTGTATGCGTTGGAAATTTGAAGCAATTGATTAATATGGATTTTGGCTATGCTTGCTAGGATTCGGTTTAATTTGTTGCTTTTGGCCTTTAGGAAATTTCTTTGACTTTGATTGGGACTGTTTTTAGGGATGGTATCGATGAGAATTGGAATTATTTCTGTTTATATCACTGGATGAACTTGTTGACAACCTTTAAGCTAAAAACTAGTTTTTACCTTAGTGTGTTTGAAAATTCGTACCAATTTAAATGATCCGAATGTCCCCCCCTCCCCTTCCCTCTCTTCTTTCGGATTATAGAACCATTTTTTTTTTTTTTGTCTCTGTTTTGTCAAAATTACGTAATTAATGTAATTTTAAGTAGTCCAGACGTCTCTTACTCCTCTCGAAAGCCTCTATATACTTTATAATTTATGTATCATTAAGCATTGATTCAGTTTTTATGGCCATATTACATCGAAGCTGGTGGTGGCAACAATACAAACATAGGGGAATGTAAGGAAAAGAGATGTAGTTGTAGATATGGGATTTTAATATAAGGTGATCCGGTGAACTATGGGTAAAAGTACAGAGAGTTTCTTTTGAGCGGGGGTAGGAGACCTGTATTAATTTATTACGAACGAGTCTCTCAATTTCTTTTGAGATTTGCATTCATATATATCGGAATGTAATGTTTTTTTTTCATGAATTTGACTTGTGAATGCCTAAGCCTAACAAAGTTATCCCATTCTTTTAGTTGCATATTAGAAATTCTCTTCCTTTACATCTGAAGTATTTTTCTGACAGATTGCCACGTGTTGTTTCTGTCAATTTGTAGACTTTTTACAAAGTTATTAGGAGCTGGGCATCGAAAAAGTTCATGACTGGATGGTGCGCAATTCTGTATTCAACCCAATATCTTACTATTCTGAGACATAGATATACACTATGTTATTGTACACTCTTACATATCAAACTACTGCACACATTCCACCTTAATATTTCATTATCTTATCATTATTTCCTGAAGAAAGATGTCCTTTTGTATGCTTTGTATAATTTAAAAGTTTATTTTCTCTAATTTTTTATATCCATTTTATTTCTGCTGGTATCTTGGTGTTTAGGTGTTTGTGTCTGTGTCATGAACTGAAAGTCACGATTTATGATAGTTACTTAGTATATATTTGAAAGCTCTTACTTCCCTTATCCATTAGACACCGAGATATGTTGCTCGTAATATATTCAAAATGGTACTCCTTATTTGATGGGAAATCCCAATTGAATCGAACCCCTAGGTTATTAATAGTAAATCTTTATATTGCGTACTGAATTTGAACCATGCTAGTCAAATTATAACCTTTTATGTCTATTCCCACAATAAAATAAAATAAAAACCCACTCTCCATTAAACCTCGACTAGCGAGGGTGGGGTGAGGGCAATCGTTGTACGTAGCTTAACCCTTGCAAAGAGATTGTTTCCAATAATAATTTGAAGGGAAAAGTGTTTGTCATTTTAAATGACATAAGGTTATGTCATTTTAAGAGAGAGACAGACACATAAAATTTTTTTTATTTAAATTTTAAATTAAAAAAAATCACTCACTTTCTCTCTCCCATGATTTCCGTTTTTCTGTGTCTATCTCTCTCCTAAAATGACATAACTTATGTCATTTAAAATGACAAACACTAAACCCTAATTTGAATAAAACTATAATATTTTCATTGCTATCCCTGTCACTGGTTTTAGAAAGATAAGGTGATGGAGAAATAGATTACTATTTTAAAGTTATTAAAGATGATTCAGTGTAGAATAACTGCTGCAAAGAATTTTTGTTCCTGTCCAGTATTCTCCTTTCTATCTATTTGCACAGATCTTAGGTTCACAAAATTATTGTCCTGCTTCATGGTTGACCGTCTTAACATTTGAGACCAGTTGTTGCTTTGGCTTCTTTAAATTCGTAAGGTCCTTTATCTTTGTGGTTTAAGTTGTTTTGTTTGGCAATTTGAATTTTTATAATTGGAGGCTTTGAAACTAGATAGTTGACGACTCAGATTTTTTTTTTCAGTTTTGCACTCAGTATGCCTTCTTTCCTTTTCATCAGCATGCTACTACATTTGGTTTTGATGTCTTTTTAGGCTATAATTTAAGATGTAATCTGATACTGTACCCATATAATGGCACTTGCAGCTGAATGTAATGAATTCCTGTTTTTATCTGTCATGGTGAATTGGTGATAACTCACTGTTCTTTTTTTTAGTGTCATTCTTTTTCCAATCGCAATCACCTTCTACATAACATGGTGGTTTATTCATTTTGTTGATGGGTTTTTTTCTCCAATCTATGCTCAACTTGGCATCAATATCTTTGGTAAGTGCTACTGTTTTATGGTACATAACTATACCCCTTTACTTTTTTTCCAATGAGACTAAAGTAAGGGTATTTAATTTTATTGGATGGATAGTTTAGTAATTCTATATTCTTAGTATTCATTTTATTTAGGTTTTGCTATTTTCTGTTTCTGGGGTTTAATGGAAGTAGAAATGTGCAACAGAGCTACAAAACTAATACAAGTTGTCACGTGGAAATTAGATATATTATGGGCTATTGTTGTCTCTATCTCTAACCTACAAGGTTGCTCAGTGGATGTCATGGTAGCATAAAACATACTGAATTATTTGCTAATACTTCTTGCCTCTTGGTCAGGTCTTGGATTCGTAACTTCCATAACTTTCATCTTCTTGGTTGGGGTTTTCATGTCATCGTGGTTGGGTGCATCTGTCCTGGGACTTGGGGAGTGGTTTATCAAGCGAATGCCTCTTGTTCGCCATATCTATAATGCCTCCAAGCAGATTAGTGCTGCTATCTCACCAGGTGTGTTTGCCAACATGTTACTTTTAATTGTGATACTGATGTGAATGTAATGTTGGGTGAGAACTGTTTATCTTTACATATGTGTTATCACAGATCAAAATACACAGGCCTTCAAAGAAGTAGCCGTCATTCGGCATCCACGCATTGGTGAATATGCATTTGGATTCATAACCTCATCTGTTGTCCTTCAGGTTTCTTAGAGACTTCTATGTTTGATAGCTTACTTCAGAAAATTTTCTTTCATCATTGCTTAAATTGGTGCTTTGGTGTCACTGCTTTAATGTTGCTTATACTGTGATCATTATTATTTTCTGATTCAGCTGTGTCAGTCTGCATGGGAATAGTTTGGACTATTCTGTTATTTCTTGCTTGATGATAGCATGTTGATCTATGTGTTGCTGGTGTGATATACAGGTCCATATGATTCATCTGTAGCATGTGGCTGATGCTTGTTTGGCTTAGCTTGGCTTGACTAAAAATTGAAATATTATCTTACTTATTGTTGCCAACTAATAATTGACTAATGGTCACTTATTCTTGCCAACTTGCATTGACTATTTTGATGATCTTGGTTGCCATGTAGCCTTTTAGGTTCTTTTTCTTTAGTTGTTTATCTGTAAAACCATATAATATTGCAAAATCCCATTTCGATTTACTCAAAGGTTTGTGCTGTACTCCATAATCAGTTGCCATTTTTTCTGAATGCTCATTCTAAATGCCTTCTTGATGTTAACTTGTGATCAATAGTTTAAAGTCATTGGAAAATTTCCATATGGATAAGCATTTGATGTATTGTGTTTGACAAGGCAGGTTTAATGTTAATAATGAAAATAATCTGAGATTATCAGAGCTTTAAATAACTTTACATGTTGAATTTAACTCTCTTAATTATATTATCATTTCACAGAGTTATTCTGGAGATGAGGAGCTATGCTGTGTCTATGTTCCCACAAACCATCTTTATATTGGTGATATATTTCTTGTCAACACCAAGGATGTTATTAGGCCAAACTTATCAGTCCGGGAAGGAATTGGTGAGTTGTTCTAGCTTTTATAGTTACCCAGAGTCTTGAATTATAGAAGAAAAAGAAGGCTTAATTACTTACTTTGCACTCTGTTAATATTATGAAGATGGTTTGTTATTTAGAGTGAACTCCTTTTTGGGGCTCCCGCTGCTTGTGGTGCAGTAAAGTTGGAGCCAAGGTTTTTGGTCTTACTATGGAATTGGGGTATAATTATTAAAAGGACTGAGTAACACTAGTTGTGTATACAATTATACACTTCACTCGCATATTCTTCATACTTTTTGTGTAAACGATTGCATGACACACTAATCCTGTTGCAATTTTATGAACAGTCCAGATTCTACACATACCTCATATAGTATGTGCTACTATCATCTCTAGGCTAGCTCATGTTCTTCCAGTTGCGAGCAGTGAATATTTGTGCATGTTGGTGGACATGCTAAAAGTCAAAATAAATAAAAATAATCTAATTTTGAATTCATTCCTGTATATTTTTAACATATGCAAAGTTTTGCAGAAATTGTCGTTTCTGGAGGCATGTCAATGCCACAGATCCTATCAACGCTTGATTCACATGTTCGAATGGAAATAAGTAGACCTGATAGAAGATGAGAGTGAAAGGTATTGTGGCTGTTCTTTTAGTAGCTTACTTTATTTCATATGGAGTCATCAGAATGGCATTGAATTTACATTGTTGATCTATAAGAAAATATTAGATTCTGATGGATTCATTTCTGTGTAATAGAATGTATAATTTAGCGCTTGTTTAAAAATATAGTTTGGGTGATGATACATGCGTACAAAATTCTACTGTGGTAGGAGTCTCAAATCTTCACCTGTGCATATTATGGTGGTATCCACTTGTTATAGCAATTCAATTTTGTACTGCCGATTACTGGCTTTCAACTTTGATGGATTTGACTCGTTTAAAACAACACATACTTTTTAGATGATAATATGCGAAATTATAATTCTAGATTCAAAAATCAAAAGGGAGTAGATTTCAACTTCATAGTTTGTTATATATTTTATTACACGTTGAATTTTTAACTAATGGTTATAACTTCTCACTTTATTCTCTAAAGTACATCTTTTGCTCTAGAGGAGCCAATCAGCCAAATTCCAATTTAATCGATGTTTCTGTGTGGTTTTCTATTCATTAGCCAGTCAATTTGAATGTTACCATTGTCGATGTTTCTGTGTGGTTTTCTATTCATTAGCCAGTCAATTTGAATGTTACCATTGTCGATGTTTTGTTTGCTATAATTTACTTGTATTTATTAAAAAAAAAGTGCAACAATTTGACATTTATAATTTAATAAAATATTTTTTTAGAAGGTTCTGCTATTCCCTTTTGTAGCTTATTGTGCTTATAAATATTTTCGTTTTTATTTTTTATTTTATGAAATAAGAGAAAAAACAATCGCCTTTTGTGAAATATTGTTGCCGATTGTTTTAAGGGATTTGCGTCTATCATCTTACATGACACCAAAAAATTTCTTACACACAATATTTTGTGGGGCTTACACTTTTTAAAGTAAAATAAATAATAAAATTAAGGCACGCAAAACGAATCTCTATAACATTACACAATCATTTTTCTTTCAACATAACTCTTATAAAATCCTTGTTTTAAACCCTATTATAATAAAAGGTTAAGATTTCTTCATATTATTCTTTAACCTGATAATGACATCGTAAGAGAGTGAACTTTACAAAAATAAGTTAAATAGATTTTATACAAATAACAATAATTTTTATACAAAATTACATTAATAAATAGTATAAGAGAATTTAAATTTTATTTTAATTGTCATCGATCTAAGTAATAGGCTAAAAGTATTCAAGGAGTTGGACGTTTGAGATTTGTAAAACAAATAAGGCATTAGTACGAAAAGATTAACAATAATAATATTTTTATCCAAAATTAGTAGATGAATTCAAATGAAAAGTACCAAAAGATTGAAGAAAAAAGTGTTAAAAACAAAATTATATATATATATATATATAACATTAGATATTAAAAAATAACAATAAATAATTAAAAAAATAAAGAGATATAAATCAAATAGGAAAGAAAGAGAAGTAAACAAATAAACATAAAGAGATATATGAGAAAAGGAGAAAAAAGAAAAAAATTATATTTATGAAAGAAATTCTTATGATTTCTTAGTAAAATAAGTTAATAATTTTTTTGTAAGTTCTAATCCAGAAAAATAGTGCCTGATATAGTCTTCTTCTTTTTTTATGTTTTTTTTTAATCATACCCATGCTTGATTTTTAAGTAAGATATATATTAAGAAAAAAAAACATAATATTAATTTTTTATAATAATTAATATCTGCCATTTTAATTTTAGAGAATGACAATTTTATTGAAGAAATATAATCACGTTTTCATTTATTTGTTTTAGTTATTATCTCTTATAAATAATAAATAGGCGGGCACGTTAACAAAAGGCCCATAGTCCGCACAGTCTAGAGACTTGTTTGACGGCACTGTTTAACCAAAACCCTAACCCTATCCCTCAATTGCCCTCTTTATAAACACTCTCTATCCACCTCCTTACGCCCTCATTGTGCCTAGGGTTTTCATAGTTCAGCTGCAATTTCAAACATCAAATCTTTTTTTCCTTCTTTTTTCCCCTTCTTCTTCTTCTTCTTCTTGCCTCTTCCCTGATATTCACCGTTGATGTGTTCTCACAAATCTTGGGACGGTGATGATTTCTGTGATTAAGGTCTCGTTCGTCGTAATTGGCCTAATTGGCCTTGCCGACCATCCTGCTATATCACCACCCATATTCTGAGTCCCTGTCATATCCAATTTGTTTTTTTCTACTTTTTGAAATTCCTTTAGATTAGTAATTTTTTTTTTTTTTTTAATCTTCGTTGTTACTGTTTTATGGTGACGAGGTTTGTGCTTTATAGATCGGCCGATGATTAAATCATAAAAAAATAGACAAGCATATGTCTGAAGTAATTCATGTAGATCAATCTAATCTTCTCTATGAGGCCATTCATCTATATGTTTCTTGTATTGATTTTTTTTCTAATTTCTTGCTTTAAAAAATCAAGAATAGATTATTTCTTTTGGTAAAAGTTTTTTGTTTTTGAATTATTATTTTTTGCCAATGACGAAACATATGGTACATATGTAATGTATGATTTTTCATGATTACCATACCATTACTGCCTTCCTTCCGAGGCTAAGTTTTTCATGACTCTGTTTTTCTGGTGTATTGTATTTGCATTTTATTCGTTTTTTGTTTGAGTTGAGTCTTTTGAATTTACTTTTTCAGTGTATTGTCTCCTTTGATTAAATTATCTATAGAGATCTGTGGTTTTACTGTTGTAGTTGTCATGGGAGGGTCATATGATGATTAGAAGCATAGTTCAGATGATATGTCTGTGATTATTTTATTTCTTGTCTTTCGCTCCTATCTGATGACCCCTTTATATTTTAGCGTATTATATTTGTTGTTCTGTGTTGTTTGGTCACTTTTATCTGATATCCAATGAGCCGTGTTTTCTTGTATTGGAAAATGTTTTTATCTTTGTGTATAGCTGTGGCACGATCCATTTGTTTCATATTTTGGTTGTCTTGTAATGGTTCTCGTCTGGGATGATATCTCTTAAGGCTTGTTTCTCAAAACATTCGCAGTGGCTGCCTAAGAGCTTTCGCCTTCGCCAGGCTTGAGAGCTAGTGCTGCTTTTATCCTTCCTTGGATGTCTGAGACTTTGTAACTTTTATGCTTATTTTAAATCGTGTTTATTTTTGGTAGGGATGTTTTGGTGTCTTGTTGAAAAATTTAGTAGCTTATGTTCATATTGTGTTGGATTAGCAAATGTTACACGTAGTGTTTTCATGTGTTTAATTACTCAATGATGACAAATCCAAAGGCTTGTTTCTCTAAACATTCGCAGTGGCCGCCTAAGAGCTTTCGCCTTCGCCCGGCTTGAGAGCTAGTGCTGCATTATCCTTCCTTGGATGTCTGAGAGTTTGTTTATTGTGTCATGAATTTCCATGCTTTTTTATATATTTAATTGGGCTTTGTATTTTATTCTTGCTTTCACGAGATTATATAATGATTATTTGGTTGTGTTATATGTCTTATCTTCATTCAAACCTATGATGATAAATCCAAAGGCTTGTTTCTCAAAACATTCGCAGTGGCCGCCTAAGAGCTTTCGCCTTCGCCAGGCTTGAGAGCTGGTGCTGTTATTCTCCTTCCTTGGATGTCTGAGGTTAAATGTTGCTGTGTTAAAATTTTATGTTTGCATTGTTTGGGACTAATTCACTGAAGTTAGTAGCAGCAGATGATGGGCTATGATTCTCACTAATCTTTGCATGTTTTTAAATATACTGTTTCTCAGTTCTTTGTTAGTTGTTATATATGGCGAGTCCCGTTAGAGGAACAAATGCTGCTCTCCCCTCTGATTGCTAAAGGAGGTCCTTGTGGTCGGGCAGAGTGGTTAAATTTGCCCAAGCAGCGTTGGAGATACAATGCTTTTTTATATGCTTAATGAATAGTAGTGTAGACAACGATGTCAATGTACATTTGCTCTTTCATTTTTTTATATTAACGAAATGCATGATTGAATTATATTTCTTTTTTTGGTAATTTTTTCTCCATGAATCTTTTAGAAATGCACTAATTTTACTCAGGAAGTGCTTTTGCAATTATATAGTGTTTAGGGTGTGTTTAAATGTGTTTTTGTTTTTAAAAACTGTTTTAAGAATGAAGTTTGAAAACTGATTTTGAGAGTAAAAGAACAAGAAAACTTGTTTCGAGAAGATGTAATTATTTACAAAAATGTCATTAATGAATTCTTAGATTTACAAAAATGCCGCCGCAAAATAATTTAAAATAACAAAAATTGATTTAATTATGAAAATATTATTAATGAATCCCTTTATTTACCAAATTGTCGCTGCACAAAACTAAAAACCATAAAACAATTTTGAAAAACAAGTAAAACTTGTTTTGCTTTTTTGATTTCCAATACTAAAAAGCAGACACGGTTTTTAAAACAGGATGAATGAAAACAGATTTTTAAAACAGGATGAATGAAAACAGGTTTTCAAACAAGGTTTTTTGTTTAATTTTTTTAAAAACTAAACTGTTTTTGAAAACACAAATCAATCAGGTCCTATAGGAAGAGTGTTTTTCCGGTATATAAAGCTATTTTCTAAATGACATTTTTTGGGTTTAAGATTAAAAATAAAAATTGTTTTAATAAGTTAACTATATCAAGTGTAAGGAGAAACATTAATTATTTATATTATTACAAGAATGATTGGAGAGATAATGAATTTGTCATTGGGCCAGAGATTAATTAATTGAACATGATTAGTTAATAAATTGTAAATTTAAAATGTGTCAATGAGTAGAAAAAAATATTAATATTCATTTAATTGATTTTTTGAAAAAGTCAAGTCTAAATTTTCTTCAAAATTTAAATTTAATGATTTTATTTGCTTTAATTTTATCGTATTGTTTTTTTGTTTTATAAAATTGTCAAAAATGAAATTAGTGGAATATATTTACCGTAATGATTGCCAAAAATAAACTATTGGTTGAGAAATCAAGAAAAAATGTTAAATTATTTTTAATTGAAATTCAAGAAACGTTTATCTTAATTAATTAAACGCATAATAATGAATTTTACTAGCAATTAGGTTCTTAAAAAAATTAATTCAGAACTATACAGTATGTCATGAAAAAAGAATGAAATAGTTTTAGAGGAATGAATGTCAAGAATTAAAAATGTTTTAAAATAAATTATTTTGAAGGGAAATTAAATTTGCGATTTTCTTCTTATTACCTCTTATTTTTAATTTTATTTTTGTTAGATCAAAATTAAATCAACAATTTTTTTATTTTGTAACTGTTGATTTGAATTTAATCTAAAGATAACAAAATTAATAAAAAAATAAAATAATAGTAAGTATAACTTATCCTATTATTTTAATATATTAACTTTAAAATTGTATATTCCTTAAAGTAAATAAAATCCTTCGACAAATTGCTAAAGCTGTATATTTTCTGTTACTATTGCATCTGAATTCTGAATAAATACAGTCAAAAGGTGATGAACAATTACACGAGTCATTATGTAGAATGGAAAGGAACTTAAAAGATTTTCAAGCCAAACAAACGTCCCATTTCTTTTTTAAAATTGATAAAATTAATATTAAAAAGAACGTTACAAAAATGATACAATTCACAACAAATGATTGGTGTGATGGGATGAAGAGTGGTCATTGAGAGGCTAGAGTAGTCTCCTGCTTGGTTTCAATAAGGCAACCTTCCTTAGAAATTGTGCCGGCAATTCTATTTGGTGGCCAATAGCGGAGTACTGATCTACCTATTATATTCTTGGCTGGCAGGGGACCCCTAAGAAAATTACATTCCATTCGCAACTAAATTAGTATATAAGGAAAAGAGAATACTGAAGATAATGAATTCATCTTTTGATAATTATGATCTTTAAATACATTACCACACATGGGAATCATAGCTGTTATTGCGGTTGTCTCCCATCACAAATACGTAGTTCTCTGGCACACGCTGCACAACAAATATTTTTAAACTAAATACAAAAACATGCTATTAACTTTAGGACAGGGCTAGACATTATAAGCCCAAAACAAAAACTTTAAACCTTTTAAACTATGGTACAGGATATTATAACAATCAATTAGTGTTATTACCAATGTTACTACCAATCAATTTAACTGTTAGAATGATTATATTGATCCAACGGTTATATTTATTTTCATCTTTGTATGGTTATGATTCTCCATATTTAATGTGAAAACATTAAATATGAAAAAATCATAACAATACAAAAGTGAAAATAAATATAAAGTATTAAATATGAATAATCATAATCATACAAAGATAGAAATAAATATAACTGTTGGATCAACATAATTGAGTGAAATTGATTGGTAGTAACATTAATTGATTGTTACAATATCTTTCCCCTTAAACTATAAGCATACCTTCGTTATAATTTAAAAAAAAAAAATCTCAAATATTTTCAATTGAATTTATACTTTCTAAAATTTACCTGCATTTAAAAATATCCGTGGATACTTAGCTAGTTACTATCATATTCGTCCTAGCATTTCAATGGAGGACTTAACATATCACAGTTATGCAGTTCCTAGAGAGAAGGGGAGGAGAACTGAGCCACATTATAAAATGATAGAACTTACTGTGGGTTTCATCTCATAAGAAGGTGGTTCAAAGATGAACTTTTCATTCCTCTCAATCCCATTAACTACAAGATGCCCTTTACGAACCTGCGTATAATTCAATTGCTCACATTTAAGTGACCAAGTTGCCAAATCAAACACCAAGAATCCGACAAAAGTTATAACTGTATACTAACTGCAATATTCTCCATTCATGCAAACATTTTGAATTCCAAAGTACATGTAACAACCAGTGGCCCCTGGCCAGCTAACCAAACTTTGTAACAGCTAGCAAATAAGAACAAAGTCACCAAACTTACCCCCCAAAACGAGAAAACTAGCAAGGGGAAAATGAGGCCTTTGACGAATAAAAGACAAAAACCAGACCACGAAAGAAAATGTAACAAGACATTGTGATCATAAAAGAGAACAGTGCACAGTAACATTAGTTCAACAAGGCAATGAACAAACAATGAAAAGCCAGCATCATAAAATAAGAGTATGAATGTTAATCTCCAAAGATCTTACCTCCACAATATCACCTTCCTTTGCAACAATACGTTTTATAAAAACATCATCATCCGTATATCCAACTTCTTGAAGGACTGGAGGGCTTTTAAATATCACTATGTCATTTGCGCATGGCTTTCTAAAATAGTATGAAACCTGAAAACATGAAGATGTATCTTTACAATAGAGATGCATCATAACAAAAAGTCTAGTCGATGCTGATGTCAAAATCTATTTAAAGAGCATAGCCATATGTTAACATGATTTTGTCTCACGAGTATTACATACTTTTTTGTGAAGTCAAATTTAACATTAAGCAATTCTCATCACAATAAATAGCTACAACTCTGAGACTGTTATCGGTGAGGAACTAAGCCAGCATAGGAACTAGGAATTTGCCGATTTAAGTATAAAAAACAATACTTTATGAAATTAATGACGAATGAGCTTACGATATAAACTAAAATCTACTATACACCCTAAACTTGGAACCTTATATATGTCCAACATTTCAATCACTAATACTCACAAACACAGCAAAACATTTCACGTTTTCTATTAACCTTGCCAAAAGTAGTGTCTAAAAAAAACCTCAACTCCTATGTTCCCTGTAGAAAAGCACTGAATCGTCTCATCATATTTCAACAAATAGCTGAAGTTTTCATATGAAGATGTATCTTTACATAGAGATGCATCATGACAGAAAGTCTACTTGAATGCTGATGTAAAAGTCTAGTAAAAGAGCATAGCTATACACTTAATTTTTTTGTCTCACAAATGTGGAGGTCTAAAGTTTCACACTACATTTTTGCGGAGTAGCTAAATTTAACATAAAGCAAATCTCATAATGTTTCAAATAATAGCTGAAATTTTATTCATTTTAAAATTTTATAGTCGACATATTTTTAGTTAAAATAAAAATAAAAATGCAAAGCTAGTCATAAGTGAATTGACACCCTCCTGAAATTAAAAGCTTAGGAACAAAATTACTACCTTTTCAGCAACAATTCGATCTCCAACATCAAATGTAGGATACATTGACAACGAAGGAATGTACCTCGGCTCAGCCACGAACGTACGAAATGCAAGCGATATTGCCAGAGCCGCAAATACCGTCTTTGCGTCATCAGAAGTGAAATTCAACCATTCTGGCAAAGGCCCCGAAGACCCATCTTTTTTCTCCACCTCTCGCTCACCCCCACCATCGCCACCTCCACCGCCGTCGCCGCCATCTCCTCCGCTATCCGAGTCCAATACCGCCTTAATGTCTTCGCCGGAATCCTTCAAGGCTTTGCAGTGGATTCTACGGTGAAGAGTGGTAGTGGTTTTGTAGAGGTGCGAAAAGTGGCGATGACAGTGAGCTGATGAAGGAATCGTTGAATTTAAACGGAAATTGAGGATTTTGATTGGTTTGAAGAAGTGGGCATGGTTCAAGTTAGGGTTTTGAAGCGAAGGCAGTGAAGAGAAGAGAGAGAGGGATGGCATATCTTCGTTCTTGTGTTAAGTTCAACTTCGACTTTGAGATATGAAAGAAAATCATAAAATCCTATTATTCTAATTATGATCATATTTATATGTACGGCTAAGATGGGAGTTTGTTTGTTTCATTGTTGGGTAAAGTCTCATTTTAAACGACGTAAAGTTGTGTCATTTTAAATGAGAGAAAGAGATAGATAAATGAAAAGAGAAAATGAACAAAAAAATATAAAGATATGAGTCCTACTCTTTGTGAGAGTGAAATGATATAAGTTGTGTCATTTAAAAGAACAAATACTTTTCCTTTTATTTTTTTTTGAAAAATATATCTTCTCACCTGATAAAGTGGTCACTTGATCATATTATTTGATCACAATCACTTATTGATGATGAAATAAGAGAAAAAAATATATATAATTTTTAAATAAGTGATTGTAATCAAATAATATGATCATTCTTTTTCACACGAGCATTCATTTCCTTTGATTTCGATATGTTGTTGGTGTTTTTTCTTTTTCTCTCTTTTATTCTTTTTCGTTTAAAAACTAGAGTAAACACCTTTTTTAATCCCTGGCAATATCTACGAAGTCCTTTTCAGTCTCTGACAATAAAAAATGACCAAATTGGTCACTGAAAGTATAAGAAAAGGGCCACTCTACATATTTGGGAGTTGACATAAGGACTAACATGGCTCCTTTTTTTGTAATTTCAGGGACCAATTTGATCCTTTTTTATTGTCAGGTACTAAAAAGGACTTCGTAGATATTGACAGAAACTAAAAATGGTGTTTACTCTAAAAACTATTATTTTGAATACAAGGGTGGGCGTGGCAGTTGGCACACTGAACTTCACCTTATGTTTCATGCCTTTGAGTCTGTCTTTGTATATTTATTCAAAGTTGTACTAAAACAGAGTAAAGTTTAGGGTGTGATTATTTCAATATTGGAGGAAATAATTTTATTTTATATATATTTATAAAAGTGTATGAGGCTCATACAGGGTTATATGAAGAGAGAAAAAAAATTTGATCTCACATATTTATATATATATATATAAGATATATATTTTTGTTTTTGGTAAAGGGAGGGGCAAAGTCCAAAAAAAAATTAAGAAAACACAAACAAAGCAAAAGGAAAACAGAAAAAAAAATTATTAGTATAGAAAATAATTTTATCTCATGCAATATGAGAGATATTAAACCCTAAAATTTAATGTAACTTTGGGAGAAATTAGTCAAATAAATTTGAATTAAGATGATAAATATAATTGCCATAATTAAAATGCAAGGCATGCCTTTCCGCAATAGTGTGATACAGACCCCAATCCCAGGGTAGAAAATTCAACAGGACACAATGTTTTTTTGCCTTCATAAACTAGATTTTCTTTACATCGATGTAAAGGAAATTACAAATATGAGTAAACTACTCGGGAATTCATATACAGAATTGAAAGTTACAAAAACTAAACCAGAGTAATGCAAGCACTAAAAATTATAAAGTAATTGGAGAGGCTTGACTCTCTCCTAGCCAAGAGTTCTCAATTCCCAATTTCTTACTTGATGCCTCCTTCTATTCTTCCATATTATTTAACCAACACTTTAGTAATTACCTGACCCTTCCATGCCTTCATTCCGTTGTGGTTTAGCATTGGTGACCATTTGAGCTAACTCATCATTGGTGACCCCATATTTTTATGGTTTGAGCTCGCGAAACTTTGGTCTTAAAAAATTAAATCTCTGTTTAAATATGTCAAATTGGTCTAGCCTGTAACCTGTTATGAATATAATTATCATCGTGTAGCCTGACTTATTTACAAAAAAAAAAGCTTGACTTAACCGATTAAAAATAAAAATAAAAATTTATCCAAACAGAATATATGATCAACAACACTAATAATTCCATAGAGATTTATAAATTCAATGTACATTCAAACAGCATAAAATAGAACAAAATCATTCAAAAAATCTGCTTAACCAATAAATTAAAGTAATACAAAATTATGCATATCCAAAAGAATAAAAGATTACAAATTTTGCGTAAACAATTTAATATACTCATATCAACATTATATTAGTATAAAAAATAAAAAATAAGAGAGTAAGTAGGCCAGCCTGACGGGCTTTAAGACCGGACTTTTGAATTGGAGCCTAAAGCTTTTATACAAGTTTAAGTCTGGATCTAACAACCAAAATACATAGACTAGGCCAAGCCTACACGAGTCAGGCCAAAGACCCCTAGCTCTTTTAAACCCCTAATCTTTACGGTCTAACTTATTGGATCGAACAATCACGCATACACAATCGCAAAACAGAAAGTGAGAAGGGAAAAAAAAGATGAAAATACAAGATTAGCCCATAATTCACTTAATATTGACTACGTCCAACAATATTTTATTATATTTTTCTCACCACATTCATTATAAAGCACTTTATTTATAAGGGGAATATAAATTGGCTTAGAAACACTAAGTAACAATAGCTATTCATGAGTCCAAACTCAAATTACTAAAAAGAGAAGAAAAAGAGAGAGACCCGTAACAGTATAAGGTCTCCATAGTCTTTGGAGTGCTGCCCTCACACTTCAATTGGGATCCCGATTTGCTTTCTTTGCGTCTCACCAATAAGAGTCATTATCTAAATGCGAAGTATGAGTCATATTCATTATAATTGTATCAGAGTGTAGTTAACTTAAATATTGAGTAATGTTTATTGGATCACTCATACAACTTTTTGGATACAATGATGAATATGAGATTTGAACTTATAATCTCCTGCAGATTATCCAAATCCATCATCACTACTAGACTATTACTAATATAATAAGGACGCTGAAATTAAACTAATGATTTTATACAAATAATATCACTTTTATAGGCTTTTTGACCCTTATGCCCCTTAATTAATAATTAATTACCAAATTGCCCCTCATTCAAAACTATTTCGAAAATTTACCCTTCCCAACAAACATAACACCAATCTGCCCCTGTTTGACCGTTGACCGCGAAGCCTACCCGGGTACACCATTACCTACCCGGGTAAATTTTGAAACTTTTTATCTACCCGAGTATGTAGGGGTGTACCCGGGTAGAGTTCTTGAATCTGGGAAAATGTTTGAATTATTTACCCGGGTACGGAGCAGTGTACCCGGGTAAACATCGACGGTAGGGTTTTAAAATACCCCAGCAGCCCCATTTCGAAAACCCACAAAAGGGGTACCCGAGTAGAGCTGCTGGAGGAGTGTCATCTTGAGCGATTTCAGGCAGAATCTTGCACTAATTCGTCTTGTTTGTGATCATCATTCGCGGACCTTGCAACCTCTCTGCCTTCTACCGATTGAAATCGATCAAAGGTGAATTTTTTTTTTCAGTTTTTTCAATTATGTTATGATTTCTGTTCTGATTCATTGTATTTTCGTTTATATCATTTGATTCTGTCCGAATTATTTTATCAATTTGTCTAACCCTAACCCTAACCCTGAATCTAACCCTAACCCTAACCCTAACCCTAACCCTAACATGTATCTAATTTCTGATTTTGGTTATTTTTTCAGTTTAATAGTGTGACACAATGACCTCTCGACGCGTTTCAAAGCTGCCAGTGACCCATTCCGAGAGAAGAACCAAGAGTCGTCACGATGGGTCGTCATCCTCTCAGCCCCAGGCTGCTTCGAGTCAGGCTCCGGACTTGACGTTCGGATATTTGTTTGAGGATGACATTCCTTCACACGAGAAGTTCGTGAAGTTTTTCATGACCCGGAAGATCTGCGAACCGAAATCATTGGATTCGGCATTCTTCAACCTAGAGCGTTTTGACATCGTGCCGCTTCTTGAGCAGACACATTTACTTCACCTGGCGGAGATGCGGTGCCCATACTCGGAGGTTATGGTAAGAGCCTTCTACCAGAACCTTGGCTACTCGCAAGGCGAGCTGACTTCCCGTGTCTGCGGGATTGATATCATCATGACTGCTCCTATCTGGACGGAGCTACTGGGGTTCGATTTTGATGGTGTCACAGGAGCAGCACTATATGATGGAGACAGCCATCATATATTTGGTGATTATAACCGGGAGACCATTGTTACAGAGACTAGGAGGGCAGACGCTGAGCCCGGTCATTTTGCTCATTATCCTGTTAGCAACTTGTCAGTTTCTGCTCGCATTCTTCATTATGTGGTGACACATATTATTTTCCAGCGCCCGCATAATCACTCAAAGGTGCCAACTGAGCATCCGGAATTACAGTAGGCCCAACAACGGATGGAATCAACAATTCATTGCCAATAGGAAACCAGTGTGCAGCATATACTTTAGCAATGGTTGGAATTTTGAAAACATGATCCACATAATCATAATGGTTTAGCTTGGCCACCTTGCAAACTGCTAATACATGACTGCAGGGATACCTCCTTGCTGTAAACCTACCACACTGACATGTACGATTGATTAAGTCCACTCTCATTTTTGCCTTCCAGGCCTTCCTGTACGTTATGTTGTATCCATATGTTCCCTGTATCCTCTCCTGTATCAGAGCTGGTCTTGTGGATGGATCTTCCTTTAACATATCTGGAAAAAAAAAATTAACTTTACCATATTCTCAATTAATCTGAATCATTAAATAAACAGTAGAATACATACTCATTATAGCCGCACAAATGACATTTGAATCCAACTGTCTATGATCCTGTGCTAGGCCTTGATTTAGGCATGTGTGACCTTGATCCTGTGCTAGATCTAGGTTTTGGGTTTGGAGGTTGGTTCAGATTTTTTAGCACAAAATGGGAGTGTGGAGATGTAATCTCAATGTCCCCCCAAGATTCAGCTTTCTGAAATGATGAGATGAAATATGTGTGATGTTTCGGATTAGAGAGGGTAAGAGAGAAAGATTTGGGGTTTCAAAAACCCTATACCTCGCAACAATGGCTGAAACCCATACATATTGGGGTTTCTGGACGCGATTTACCCGGGTACACTGCTACGTACCCGGGTAAATAATTCAAACATTTTCCCAGATTCAAGAACTCTACCCGGGTACACCCCTACATACTCGGGTAGATAA